GATAAAAAAAAAAGAAAATAAGATTGAGAGGCACTGTTCGGGATTGTTCCATGAGGCAGGCCTGCCAAAGGATCAATTGCACTGTGCGTAGTGCATGTCCGAGCACGAAGACGCGGGAGCTGACCTTGGGGGGATGCGTTATTGCATCACGATGCTTCATAGAGCGATGCCTTTTGGCGCAGACGCGATTAAAGGACCAGTGGCCGCAGTCGCAGCAAACAGCGCTGGGAAAAAAGGTGGTCAAATTTTCGTTGGCATGTACAGGATGGCTTTCAATGTAGTGCGCCATCAGCGGATCGCCCTTGCGCATTGAGCACACACATCCTGGCGCAGGACAGTCAATCCAGTTCAGAGAAGGAAAGCACTCGGAAGGGCGGCGGAGATCGGGTGGAGTGGAATGGTGCGTTTGAACATGGCGTTGCTCATTGGAATCCGAGACAAGCATGTTGCAGATTGCACAAGACACCGGAGAAGGAGTCGCCATAATGGCTGCACGCAAAGAAAAGAAAGGCAAGGTGAGATGGTTCACGCATCAATAAATGGCAGCGCATGCGAGGAATGAGGAAGGGTGGGGACTCACCGTTGAGGAGAAGGAAAATGCAACGGAAATTGTAACGGAAGAACGAATCTCAACGGTCAAACCATAAGGGATGACACTTGGTACGTGACCGAAGTTGTCTCGATGAACAGGTGAAAAAGTGTCTCCGTCAAAAGGACTCAAAACAAAAAAAAAAAAGTTTTTCATGTTTGTGAGTTTGAGTTTTCGTGTTGAGTTCCAAGTGGAGGGCATCCAGAGGCGTGCGCGCCGTGGATGTGATTGTTATTGTTATTGGTGTGCTTTCACCGCGATCGTTTGACCCCAGAGGAGACGGTGCTATTTGGACACGCTTTGCAGCTGGGTGAGAACTTGTGTGAGGGGTGATTGACAGGGGGCTGGCTGGCCATCATGCGTTTGGCAAGGTGATTGTTTTCGGCTCCATCGAGCGAGTCGATCCCGGCCTTCGCTTGTTTTGATCCCGTCCTCTTCTCCGCCGATCGACGTTGAGAGTACAAACCGTACATGATGGGCGGAGTCACCGAAGACGATCTTGGAAAGAGAGTTCAAGTGCCGCTCCGAGGGCCGGGCAAACTCGTTTTTCTCGGGCGCACTGACTTTAAAGAGGGCCTCTGGGCTGGCATTCGCCTTGATGAGCCCAAGGTCAGTTGTTGCACACACACACACACACACACACACACACACACACACACACACACACACACACACACACACACACACACACACACACACACACACACACACACACAACAAACACTATTTCTTGGCGGGTACCGAAGCAGTCCCGGCTCACTCAAATCACCTATGCGCTGGACAAACGTAGGGGAAGAACGACGGTGCGGTCGGCACCCGTCGTTACTTTACGTGCCCGCCCAAGCATGGCATCTTTGTGCAGCCTGACAACCTGTCTCTGGCAGGACCCAGTGAGCGGCGACGCGCGATCCGCGGTGGTGGTGGGGCCAGCCGCCAGCAAATGGAAGATGGTGCTCAGAATGCCAACAGTCAAGCCGGACCATCTGACAGTGGTGGCAACGCCGCCAGCGTCAACGGAACACCAACCAGGGCGCTGAGCAAAGCGGCGTCAAGCTCCCGGACAAAGAACACCAAGAATGCAGCCAACCCGACCAGCGCCACTGCTGCCACCACAGGCTCACGGCGCTTAAGTTCACCGTCTGGAAGCCGGGCTGGGCTCTCTGCCGCGAGTTCTAGTCCTACCCCCACCAGCTCTTCGCGGCGCGCAACCCATCGCACTGCCCAAGCTCGGCCTGGAAGCACTGGGACTCTGAGCCCAGCAGCCATGATCACCGATTCAGGCCCTGCAAGCACCAACTCGAGTCGGCGAGGCTCACGGCCCAATCAAACGGTGCCCGACGCGACGCCGACCGCCGCAAATCGAGGCTCGGCTAAATCACTTGCAAGATCCATCGACGCCAAGAGTAGCAACACCCCTGTCGCGACAGCTGCTGAGCGCAGCAGCAAGCTGAGCCACACCACCAGCGCTGGGGAGACACACGCTCAGCCCACTGCCAGCGTGGCCTCTCATTCGCCTGCCAGCAAAGCTTCAAATGTCTCAAAGGCTGTCGAGACTAAGTCTGCAACACCAACACGCACTACAGCAGCCAGGGCTGCCCGCAATCCCGTAGCAAGCATGCCGCACCAAAAAGAAGCCATTGACGTGAGCGACGTAAAGAACGCACGATCGCAAGAATCAGATGAAGCCAACGTCCCCTCGATATCTCCGACGGCACAAGCAACTCAATCAAGCCTTTTAGACGCCAGCCCTAACCCGACACCACTCAGCACCAAGCATGCCAGTCGCGTTTCCGCGCCGGCTGGGCCGCGCCAAACTGGATCCCCAACAAACTGCAAGGCACAGGAGGCTGAGGATCTGCCACCCCTTGCTCGTCAAGTTCTGGCAAGTAGGGCCGGTGCCCCCCGCCGTCGCCCGGTCTCTATTCACGGCACTCCAACAAAGCCACCACCCAGCAAGGCTTCATTTGAGAAAAAAGTCGCGTCATCGCCGGATCCTGCGTCGTCAGCCAGCCATCAACATGTGGCGACAGAAGGCTTGAGCCTGTGGCATTCAAACTCACCCCGTGCGCAACGCGGGTCGTCGCCAATTACCAAACCTCAAGAGGTTGTGCCTCAAGCAACGGAGACAGTACGTGCCGAGCAGCCTGTGACCCCTCCCACCACACAAGAAGCAAGCCAACCAACTGCGATACTCTCTCCGGCCGGATTTGACACTGACACCGCGTCACGCGAGGCGACCCAAAGCTCCACCCCGGCCAAAGTTACAATCGGGGCCGAAGCCGCAGTGGTATCCTCCTTAGAGGTCAATGAGATGCGAAAGCCAGTGCGCACCGGCACGCGCGTGACACCAATCCCTTCACGACGCCTGCGCAGTAGCATGGACAGGGGCAGCGCTTCAACCAGCCGTCCCTCAGAGTCGGTCGATGCAAAACTCTTGGATTCGGACGCAGCAAACACGGACCAGACTTTTGACACGACACAACTGGATCCAAGCGCTGTTGCCCAACGAGCCGATGTGCCCATTCCTCTGATGCCCTCACCGGCCGCCATGAATACTGCCATGGATGTATTTATTTCCCCAGGTGAGGCTACTGATCTGAGTGCAGAGCTGGTGCAAATTGACAACAAGTCGGACGCAACACAAGCGCGGCTGGCTCATACTGAGACCACGGCTTTGGGTGCGAGCGCAATCAAACAAGACGCTACGGACCAAGTCATTGCCACGATGGCGACGAAGCCACCTGCTTCACGCCCGGCACGCCGTAAACCAAGCACCCCGCCCCGACATGCCTCGCGCAGTAGCCTCACAAGCGAGCCCGCTCGTGGAACCCCCTCCCCGGCTGAGCTGGATGCATCCATCTTGGATGCACGCGACAAGCGTGCGCTAGGTGAGGGTTCCTTAAAGCTGTTGCTTTACACTCTGTTCTGTATGTTGTCTGGCCGTCCGTCCAAACCACCAAGCTCACGCACATGTAACCTCCTTTGCGTGCGTAGGCAACAATAAGGATCCACGATGGCATGATTCATCTGCGTCACCGCGACGGCCCATGCCCCGAATGGAAGCACCTCGCGACAGTTTGCTCAAGGAGAAGGATGCGCTGGCTGCCACTGTGGCTCGGCTCAACGAAGAGTTGAGTTCAGCTCGTGCTGCGTTGCAAGCCTCTCAAGAGGCACAAGCCAAGCAAGAGGCTTCTTTTGCGGCCTCGACCTCTCAGTGGCAGGCTAGACTTGAGGAGCAAGCAAGCCAACTTGAATTGGCTCAGGCACACTCAGAGCAGCACAGTCAGCAACCGACCATAACCGAGCTGAAGGCACAGGTCACTGCGCTGCAAGAGCAGCTGCGAACAGTTGCCCAAGACCACGAGGCCGCCATGGTGATTGCCAAACAACAAACGGAGACTGCACAGCAGGAAGCCAATGACTTGCGCATTGCCCTGGAAGAAGTACACCAACAATCACAGGCGACTTGGGAGCAGCAACGTACTGAGCTCGAAGGGCGCCTCGCGTCTTTGAACGCCTCTTTAAAAGATGAACAATTGGCTCTAACCACACAAAAAGCGCAAAACGAGATACTTTCGACTCGCGTTGCAGAGTTGGACGCAGCCCAAAGGGATGCAGCAGCAAACACCACAGACAAGACAGTATCCGCCCCTAGCCCAGTACCAGATCCGCCTCTTGAGCTCGTCCAGGCCAACGAGAGCCTGAGGCAGGAATTAGCTGAGGTGCAGCAGCGTCTGACCAAACAGGAGCTACAAAACGTTGAGCTGCTGGAGCAGGCACGCAAGGAGGGTGTCCGTATGACTGAAGCTCAACAAGCCGCCGCTGATCAGGAGCAGCAACGCGCTTTGCGGCAATTGCGTGACGAGTTGCTTGAGGCCAAGGTAAGCTTGCTGATGCTTGGCTCAATATCAAGGACATGACTGCCATCGTTAACACACACGCACACATTCATTCACTCACACACTTTTTTTTTTTTTTTTTCTTTTTTTTTTCTTTTTTTTTTCTTTTTTTTTTCTTTTTTTTTTCTTTTTTTTTTTTTTTTTTTTGCCGGCTGCAACATGTCCGTGTGGCCCCGTGATAGGCGGATGCTGAAGCGAGCAAGCATGCCCTGCAAACTCACCTACAAGACATGCACGAGCGAGAAGAGCGAGAGCAGCAGGCAACGGATGAAGCCGATCGTCGGCTGGCCGAGCGTGTAAACAAGGAGAAAAAGCGGGCGGCCATGGAGCTCGCGTTTCTTGCTGAGCAGCTGACGGAGAAGGAGGGCGAGGTGGCAGCGTTGCAAGCTGAACTGTTGACCTTGCGACATGAGTCTGGTCTTCATGTGCAACAGCGAGCTGCCATGGAGCTTGCCGATCACGAAAGTCGCACGCGCATCGAGACACTCGTCAAAGCACAGGCATCCTTTAAAGCGCAAATCACGACGCTTGAGACCAAGTGTCAAATTCAAGCAGAGGAGATGGCCCGGTTACGGGAGCATCTTCGGCATGCCAACGCTAGGTATGATGAGCTTGAGCGTGGGTTTGGTCTCCCAGGGGTCCCGAGTCTTGGCGTTGAAGGACCCGGCACGCCATCGCGGCGCGTCACCACCCCTAAAAGCGTGGAGACCTCGCACGCCGAGGCCTTGAGTGCCCTCAAGCTGCATGTTAGCCAGTTGCAAGAGGAAAAACGCATCTTAGAAGAACAGGCAAGCGTCGCTGTGGCTGAACAGCGCCAGGCCGAGACTCGCCTCAAGCAGGTGCGCGAAGCCCTGACAGATGAGCTCGACCAGGCTGCGCGGCAACAGGACCGACTCGAGCGACAGATCCAAACCCTCGAACAAAAACTTGGTGTCAAGTCTTCCGAAGCGGCCGATCTACAGGCTGAGTTGGACGAGCTTCGCGACGAAGCCCATGAACGCGCCAGCACTGACGCTGTTGTACAGCGGCTGCAAGAACGTATCGAAGAATTAGAGACAGCGCTCGCGCTCGCACACAACTCCGTACCCCAACGAGATAAAAGTGACCGTTATGCTTCGGATATGCAGCGCTTGCAAAGCGAGCAAGCAGCTGCTGTGGAGAACATCCGCGATCTGCAAGAACGCCTGGCTCAAGCCAATGCGCAGGTCGCATCCTTACGTCGAGCAGCTTTGGCTGGGGTGAGCTGATACTCGTGCTCGTGGGGTTATCGAGGTAGTTTTTGGTCTCCATCAATCGTGTTTGAGTTTGGCCTTTGGTCTTTTGAGAGCGTACATTTTACCTGAAGCGGCTGTCACTTTTGTAGTTGTTCTCCGTTTGACAACACGTGGCTTTACAACTCATGTAATTTTCTGGGGACTGGCGTCCCGTAGGCCACGACGGATGCTACAGATGCCCCAGAGCTTCGACAGATCGTTCAGAAACAGGAAGTCACCATCACGAGCCTTTTGGAGTCAACGGCAGACCTCAAGACCTCACTGCTGGCACGTGAGGCTCAGGTGGCGCGTTTGGAGGCACAGGTCGGCCTGAGTCAGAGCGAGACAGCTGATAAGGTATGGACGGATGTGCGCTCGTATGCTTGACCCATGCCCGTCCCTCGGAAATCGCCCACACCTGCCATGCATATGTACCTTCTCACCTGAGCACTGTCTGTCCAGTTGATCCAAACAGGCACTGAGCTTGACCGTGTCATGTTCGAACTGGAGCAGCTCACCAAGGCATTGGAGACCAAGAACATTGAGCAACGGGACCTGCGCGCCAAAATGACGGCGTTGGAGCAGCAGCTGGATGAAGCAGCGCGGGGTCAGATTGGAGATGAACCAGTCGCTGATATTCTTCGAGTATGTTTCGTCTGCGGCTCAGCTCTGCAGACACCCATATGACAGCAGTAGATATGATGTGCCTCACGCGTAATTTTGTTCCTTGTGCTATCCGTGATTGTTTATCAGCACGAGCTGTCGGCTGTTCGGCACGAGCGAGATGAATGGCATCTGAAGTTTGCCGAGCTGCGAGCTGCCCAATTGGGGCCTTCCATCGAATCATCGGCTCCTTCCTCACCTCGTCAGTCGACTTTCGTGCTACAGCGCTACCGTTGGCCCAAAACCAAAGCGGTTGCATGCCTTGCAGGCAGAGCTCATCTGAAAACGGTTGTTTTGGCATGTGTTTTAGATTTTCTTCGCACGGCCAAAGCCCCTGCAACGTCCAATCGCTTGAGCAATCAAGTCGTTCTACGTCGCACTGGGTCGCTGAACGGACGTCCGGCTACCGCCACTGGCTTAGGATCACCTCGTCGTCACCGAGACAGCATTGGCCACCTGGACAACACTTTTGGCTGAGTTGTCGCAAATGCTACTGTCAGGCTCCAGCACGTCTGGAGGCCGGTTTTGTGAGTGCTCAAATGCGTGGAAGCACGGATTTGACGCTAACAGCTACCATCACAGGTTTTCTTGCGACACTGAGAGCATGCACGTGTAATTATTTTTGATTGACAAAGAGTTACATACATGTACATGTTCATGTTCATGTAAATTTTTTTTTTCCATCAATTTGAGCGGGTTTATTGCCATTTTATTTCGAGCCAAGAAACGCACAGCATTTATTTGACTTGGTGAATCAAATACGTCCGCATAACTTTTTGATTTGAGTGTTGATCAAGGGGCAGCTGACGCCATCGACGGAATGGCCGGTCAACATGCCCGGGACTCGATTCATGAACCTTGCCTCTTCCTTACAGGTGAATGACTGAAGCTGAAATTTGAAAAAGTAATACTCAATGTGTGGGCATTATTCAGTTGTCAATTTGCACCGCACAAGGAAAAAAGGATGATGGCTTGCCTTGACACGTTCTTGTGAGAATGATAATTTAATTATAATTTATGCACACATGTTCAGCAGGCTTGGTATTCAATAGCATACAGCATCAGCCGGGTAAACCAGAGTTTGTGAATCTCAAATAAGCATCGAGTTCCACTTGAAAGAAAAGGCAGGCGACGACACACGACACTGGGTGGACAATCGATCACAACTTCCGAGCGGTCATATCTAGGCAACCGTGTCATCCCACTCGTAATTATCAGAGAGGCGATTCTGCCCGCTCTTGCTTGGTGGGGCCAAGTTGGCGACGAGCGGGCGTGAGTTGCCTGGCTCAGATTTAGGCTTTCGCCAACTGGAGCCGCTCGAAAAGTCTGCTTTGGTGTCCCAAGCAAGAGAGGCTTGGCGAGTGATGCCACTCGGACCAATGAGATCCTCCGAAAAATTAGCCGCTGCATAGATGTCTTCATCCTCGTCTACACTCTCCTCATCCAGAGTCAGCAATTGACCTTCGCCTGAGGCTTCTGCGGGCACCTCAACGGCGCGTGCCAGTCCATACACATCCCTGCCTGTGCGAGTGCGGCTGCGGTCTACACGCGAGTAGGTGTCTTTCACGACACCATCGTCGTCGTCGTCATCATCGTCGTCATCGTCATCCTGTGCATCTGCCTCGCTGATGTAGCTATGGCGATTAGCCATGCCGTAAATGTCTTCATCGCTCTCATCTGCAGGGCGGTTCAGCTTGGAGGAGGCTGCTGGAATGCCAGGTGGATGCACGCCTCCGCTCGAATACTCGAGCACGGAAAAGCTTTCGTCTGCATAGGTGCTGTCACGCCGATTCGCGCGGCCGTAGATGTCGTCGGCGTCATCATCAGCAGTGCGACCATAATGGTCATCATCTTGCTCCATGCCACGGTGCATGTTATCCCAGGCATAGGCGCCGTAGTAGGTGTCGTCGGCCTGACCACCTTCGCTGGCACCGTCGCTTCCTGGCTCATCAACAGTGCTATTCAAAGGCATTCCAGAGCTATCTGCGGTGGTATCAGCAACATTGGCGCGTCCATAGATATCCTCCTCCTCATCGCCGTCCTCATCACCTTGGTTGCCAATGTCGTAGTCCACCTCGGTCTCCTCACCCATACCGTCACCGCCAATGTCGTACACGGCGTCTTGGTCATTGACCGCACCCCCAATATCGTAAACAGCACCGCTAGTATTGTGATCGTCATCGTCGCGTCCAATATCGTACACCGCGTCGTCGTCGACCGTGCTGCTAGCGCCCATAGCATTGCTGCCGATGTCATAGACCGGGTCGAAGGTCAGATTGTCAAGATCGGTTTCCACCATGCGAGCACCGCCCCGACCCAAGCGTACTGCATTGCCCATGTCGTAGACTGCATCGTCGTCCGGACGACCACTGCCCATATCATAGATGGCATCATCGTGACCCCGCTTGTCGACTCCACTACCCATGTCATAAATCGCATCATCAGTAGGATGGCCCTTGCCACCATTCACGCCCAGCTCGTAGATGGCCTCTTGGCCGGTTCCCGCATGACGAACGAGAACACCACGGAACTCTCCATCCGTGTAGCGAACATGGGCCTGCTGGGCGCCGACGGGCTCCAAGTAGCCGTCCTTGCTTGAGAAAAATTCGTTGAGGTTGGCGTAGGTGCCGTCCTCGCAGGCTACCTGCGCCAAGCAATACTCATTCTCGTCCACACCCAGGAAGACAGGCTTAAAGTTGCCGTTGGAATCCTTGCGGTAGCCACGCGTCAGAGCCACTTCCTGACCTGTGGGCAGACGGGCCTGCGGCATGGCTTGACGTTGTCCTGGCTGACGCAAGAAATGTCCAATCTCCTCGTAGAGATGTTGTCGATCCAAATCAAAACGCTGGCCAAAGCCCAGCTCGGTGACATCTTCGTAGATGCCATCAGAGGGCTTGAGGGCAAGGTGCCCATCGTGCATGGAGAATAGGTCACGAACGGCTACATATACGCCGTTGGGGAAGCGAACACGGCTTTGTGCGTAAATGCCTTCCATGTTCAGCCAGTCGCCGACCTCATCGGCCAGCGTCAAGTTGCCATCGTCATCACGGCTGATAATGTCCTTGAGTTCCGCATAGATTCCGTTCCCCAACGAGACCATAATGGCCACCGGCTGTTCGTACTCGTTGTCGGTAGTTGACTCTGCACCCACCGCAAGGTAATCGCTGCCGGGATTGTGTTCGGTCGAAAGAGTCTTCATGCTTATTTGGCTGGCAGCGGCGTTGAATTGGCCGTCTGTCTCACTGGTTTTGGCTTTGTCGCGCTGCTGTTGACGACGACGATGGCGCGCCACCAATATGATGAGCACTAACAGCAGGAGGATAAGCAAGGATGCCAAGAGTCCAATAAAGCCGGCCGTGTCAGAAAAGTTTGTGCTCTTCGATGGTACCACATAGCAACTTGAGCTGTCAGCAGAAGTATCGGGAGTTTCCACAAAAACTTGGGCCTCAGCTTCAGCTGATGATTGATAGGTCAGCGTTGGTTGGATGCAAAGCTGCGAATTCTCTCGGGGATTGCTCAAGCTGATCGTGGATGTGAAGGAGGCGGACGTGCCGGGTGCGACGTTTTGCTACACAAACGCAGAAAACGAAAACAAGAGCAATAAACCACCGAATAAACAAAGCAGGCCGATGATGAGAGTTGTTCTACCGTAGGAACCATTTTGATACAATAGACACAGCCGAGGCCCGCGCTATCCACGGCCGCCACGCTAAGCGATACAATAGCCCGTGCTTCTCGACTTACAGGGGTAGTGGCGCGCCGCACGTTTGAGGCCGCAGCGTCATCATATTCAAGATCACCTGGCGGGTGTTTGCAAGGGGAAGGTACGTGAGCTGCATGCGGCGACGGGGCATTGGGTGGTAGAGCGCAAGGCACAAAATAAAAGCATTCACAAGACAAGCATCAAGCAAAAGCCGAACTGACCCGAGAATGCAAAGTCCAGCTGAAGGCCATACGCAGGTACAGTTGAGGTGGGATCGTGTTCCACGGTCACCTGGAACTCCAGGGTGTCATCATTTCGCGTTGTTAAAAATGACGTCACAAGGACCGGGCGCAATACGGATAGACCAATGACCACTTGTGCATCCCCTTCTACGTCATCAGCACCATGTGCATGGAGTCGACCTGTGATAGTGTCGGCAGCGCTTGCAGAGCCATGTTCTCCTACGCGAGCCGTCCAGTTCAACTGAAGTTGGGTGTAGCGAACAGACTGTGTCATGGGAGCGGTCACGTTGGCAAAGTGTAAAATTGCAACACTGGCGTCACTGCTGACATTGATCGTGGCCGGTGTAAACTCTACAGGCTTGTCCAAGCTGCCCACGGAGGCTAGCACATCGCCGACAAGAGAAACATTGCTAGGCAGTTCCAGCACAACGGTCAAGGGCTGCAGGTTGGATTCAGGTAGCTCCAGGTTTGCTTCGAATGAAACCAAAGAGCCTGCCACACCTGCAGGGGCTGTGGGGGTCTGCCAGATCATTGGTGGCGAAGTGGCGCCGACAGTCACATTGGGGGCTGTGCGCATCAGACCCAGCTCGTTGGCGGACGTCTCGTAGAGAAGTTCTACTCCTATCATGCCCTGAAATCCAGGAGCAACGGCCTGCTCCATCCGAAAGCCAATGGAAAAGCTGATGGTGGCATCCATGGTCAGATTGGTAGCCGTCAACACCCCATCGCCATGGGAAGCAACGTCCGTCGTGCCACCCTGCACCGCGCCCACCTCCGACCACCACACGCTGAGGGCGGTAGTGGATGATCGTCGGGGGAGGATTTGCAAATTGTAAGCCGGAATACGACTACCCGCGTAATGGCTCACGGTGCCATTAATCCAGCACAACGAGCCAGCGTCACCGTGGCAATCCTGAAGCCCATCAGTTACCAGCTGCAGATAGGGAAACGTCAATTCAATGACCTGCTGAATCTGCAAGGGTGTTTCACTCCACGTATGAGTCACGTTGACGTGTAGTATGACATCTGCATCACCCACGGCACCCCCAGGGGATGCGACAAGAGGTAACACAAACAAAACCGAGTGAGGCTCACCCTCAGGGGCCCGCCCGTCAGCCGTCGCGAAGAAGGCCCAGGCATGCACTTGGTTATCTGCAATCTCGGCAGCAACAGCATCAGCCCCCGTGTTGGGTCCCTCCAGGATGGCTGTCGGTGATGCAGTTGTCGCCACGGGGCCGGTGGCGGTCAACTCAATGCGAAGCTGAGTTGCAACACTGATCGGCAACTGCACCTTTACATGCACCTGAAAGACCTCGCCATATGCAAGTTCAGCCTCGCCGCCGGGATGGTCGACGCCGCGCGATCGTGCTGTAATGTCAAGTGCAGCGACCACGTCACTGATTTGGACGCTGGCACGCCCCAAGTCGGCAGCATAAAAGCGACTCTGAGTGATCTCGGTGGGTAAGCCGGAGCGCCAGCTAGCTGCTGCTCGCTGTGAATAGCGACGGTTGGTTGCCGCATCACCAATGACGCGGCAGCCAAACTCAAGCAGTAGGCTAGCCCCGGCAGCCAGGGAGTCCACATGTACAAGCCGTGCCTCCGCTGTTGAGGCGCTTATTACCGGCTCAGCTGGCATCCAGCTGGTCCCGTTCATAGCCCACATCTCGTAACGCAGGATTGAAATGGAGGACAAGTCAACTCCAGCCAGAGACAAATTGAGTACCAAACCAATCGCGTCGGCTAGATGTAGAGTATTCTGAGAGCTGTTCAGGCTCACGCGATAGACCAGGAACTCCCCCGCCTCGACAGGTGCGACGTCCGTGTCGTTCAACAATTCAAATCGACCTGATACCGTAGGCTCTACAATTGCAACCGTCATGGCTTGGATGTCGTAAAAAGCGGCATATTGCGCATGTGCCTCCAACCAAATGAGGTCACCGGCCACAAAATCAGGAATGTTGTTGACCCTGTAGTTGCACCTGATATCAAATGCATCCGCAGCAGTTAGCGGCTGGGTCACCTCGACATTGGTCACGACCCCGAGATCAATAAAAAACGCGTTGTCTTCACTCATGCTGGGTGTGGTCGTCAGCTGCCCAAGAGCGACGCCTTGGACGTGGTCACCCAGGCGAGTCACGGTGCAGGCCTCCAGCGCAAACGGGTTGCTGTAGTTGAGCTTGACGTTGAATGCATAGTCTCCGCGAACTGTGTAAGAGTGGGTCACCGAGACTAATTCACCAAAGCTCACGCGATCAGCTGCTTCGTTGCCGTGTAAATCACCCCAGACGGAGCCTGCCACCTCAAGCGCTGCCGTGTATACAACGCTAAAGTCATAAGTCTCGTTGAAACAACGGCCCGCCCCAGCTGGCGCAGTGCAGTACACCTGGTTCATCTGCACGGGCAAGGCGGTGCCTTGTGGAATGTCGCTGCGAACAAGGCTAGTAGAGAGCGAAGAAATTTGGTCATTCATAAAGGCAAGAACGTTGGTGGCAAGCGCAGTGGCCGCGTTCCCCAGTGGCACCCCCTGATTCACCGGCAGTTCCCCTGAGGCCAGGGACACAAATTCAGCGGTGTTGGCGGTAAGGCCAGCCGCGAAAGAAAGTGTGGATACAAAATCGTAGGCGGGGGCCGCACGCGCCACAGTGTTGGTGGTCGTGGATGAAAAGTTGAGGCGAGTATTTGGAAGAATGTGGTTGAAGTCTGGCGATGTCAATGCCACTTGCAGCAAGGGCAGGACCAGGGTCGCGGACACAGTACGGCTCAGCCAGCGGGTCGTTCCAGTATTGTAATCGTGCTTGAGAATCGCACTTAGAGTCAAGGTCTCGAGGTGGGCATCGTTTGCCACGGTATCTGTCACAAGCACAGTCCAAGCGACGACGATCTCGTCTTCCTCATTCTTCATCTGGTCCGGTGCGTTGAGGCAGCTCCCAAAGTCGAGTCGCATAATTCCTCCACTTAGAACGGCTGCTGGGTCATAGTTGGGCGTTGCGCTGCACGAAACTTGACTGCCCAAGGTAGCGGCGATGGAGAGCAAAGCAGCGCTCTCTGCCGGAAAACGTGCTTCAATCACCGTGTCCGTTGTGCCTTCAATCATGTCAACACGGGTCTCTAGCGTGATGGTCTCACCGATGGCCAAGTCTAGGTCGGGCGTTTCCGAAAGGGAGGTATTGAGCACGGTGGTGGCTTGCGTGGGCAAGGCAAAAACCAGGTTATTCGATCGGTTGCTCGTAGTTTGTTTCTTGATGTTCTTGCTTGGGTCCAAAGGTGCTGAGTAGGAGAGCGTTGTCACCTGCACAAAGATATCACTGGCCTGAGGAAATATGGAGTTAAGAACCTGCACCGTGACTTCAATCATCAAATCATCCGTGTCGAGAAGCAGCACCGGCAGCGTATGCGTCACCAAGGTCGAGTTGAGCGTTGAGGTGGTGGCATGGGTGAGGCTTTGCGTGGCGATTGGGGTCAGGTGTGCTGGCATTGGAATCGATACGAAATTATCATAGGACGGGCTCAAGGAGTCTGATAGATGGGATACATTGAAACGAAGAACAACTTGATCGCCGGCATCCAGGGGCGAGACGTATTCAGCCAACACCGGGGTGGTCTCCATGCTAGGCTGTACAATCTGTACACCAGCAGTCCGACTTTGTGCTTGAGCATCCGTGTGCAGGGTCACACCAACTGCCAGCCATTTTCCATTGGTGTTGGATTCCCTGCAAAGTATTGAACGGGAAAAGAAGATGGCATTTGAGCGATACGTACGAGCGAAAAGTCAGCTGCCAAGTAATGAGGGGCGAAGGGGCGAGCAAGGGGCGAAGGGGCGAAGGGGCGAGCAAGGCGCTTGCGTTCAAATGGTGTGCGCAGATCCAGACGTACCGATTTTCAACAGTTGCAGTTATGCGAGTGCAGAGAAGATCAGCTGAGCTGTCAAGGTTGTCAAACGTGTTGCTCACGAAACCAAGGTCGAGCTCAGCAGTTTGTCCGGAGGCAAAAAATTGCTCTCCAAGGGTGTGGTCTACCAAGATCAGGTTGGCGCCCACGGCTGAAATGCTCCCGTTCAGAAAGCGCAAGCCAGTGGCCAAAGAAAAGTCAAATGAAGCATTGCGATTGCCTTCGATGAAATTGACGCAGGTCTCAAACATGACATCCTCGCCAATATTGACCTCGTTGCCGTACGTTTCCTTGAGCGAGGTCCAGTACAGGGAGTGTGAGAGGTCAGCCAAGTCCATGGTAGTGATGTGGGAAGCTGTGGCACCTGGCCATGCCGTGTCTATGGTATTGTTTCGACGACGGCCTTCCGGCTCAAATGCCTCAGGCGTGGTGATCCACTGTGATGCAGTTGTCGCCAGCAACTGTTCTCGGGGACGCACGGCCTGGCGCAACGTGCCATTGTAATCCAGATATAGGGTTTCGTCAGTGTTATGGAGTGCCGATGTGTAAACGGTGATGGAATCAGGCGCAGAGATCGTCACAATCAAGTCTTCCGTGGTCGTAGATGCATTAGTGGTCACGGAAGCCTCGTCTAAAATGAGATTGGTAGGAAGGGGCACCGTCAGCAGCACTTGATATGCGTCTGCAGAGGAAGCGCTGGTGTGGGCGAGCGTCACGCGATAGGAGAGTACATCCCCGGCGTCTGGCTCGACGCGAGGCTGCGAGATGCTTGTCTTTAGCAAGGGTTCAGCTACAATCAAGTTCTGTGAGGAGGTCTGGTACGATACATCGCCATCAGCGTTGGACCAACGAAGCGCCACACTCAATGGTAAGGTCCTCCCAATGGTATTGTCGAGGGTATTGAGCATGCGCAAACGCACGCTTATTTTAAGCGCGTCCCGAGCATCTACAATGTTATCGTACACGTTGGAAACATTGCCGTATTGGGCTGATAGTGTGGCCTGGTGGCCCGTCTCAGGCAGTTCGATAAGAAAGGACTCACTGCCGTTGGAGGCCGGTACAGACGAGCCGAAGAGTTGACTTCCAATGAAATATGGCGCCACATGCATAAACTCCATGTCCGGCGGCGTGATCAAGGTTACACTCAGATTGTAGATTTCGCCTTCAGCCAGACCAATGGTGACGGCAAACGTGCCGTTTTCCGCAATCGTGAGCGACAGGGGCACAGTACTGGGATCAGTCGAGTCGAGCTCACTGTAGGTTATTGTGGGATTGCGAATCGTGACTGTGGCGTTGCCCGTCAGCGAGTAGCTCATGCCCGTTTTGGTCGGTTCGAATGGTGTTGAATCATAAGCAGCAGCGAGCGAGTTTTGAAAAACCTCGCGCGATGTGACGCCTTGCACAACCTGCATTTGAACCATAATCTGCAAGCGCTCATCGGTCGCAATACGTGCGACGTTTGAGCCACCGAAGGACACTACATTGTTTGCCATTTCAATGGACACGACTCGACCGCCCAGCGCTTCGCAGTTGGTCGCTGTGAGGGCATAATCCTGACGAGCGGCTGAGTACACGCACGCATAGGACGTGTTGAGCTGAAGGCGAGGGTCAAGGGTAAAGGTACCCGATAGGTTGTAAGCGTGGACACTACCGTCGCCGTCGTGCTCGAGGTAGATCATCTGCCAGACCCAGTCGCCAGCGTCTTGATAAAAGTTGTTGATGGTTGGGAAGAGCCGCGGCTCCCGCAAAATAGTGTTTGTTGTCACTTGGTCATCAAGGCCGTTAAAAATGGCATAAATGTCAGTGTCGAAGGGTGCGTTTCGATGCTCATACGCTGCGAAGAGGGCTGGGTTTACGTGATAGGTAACTGTCATGTTGATTGTCGGAGATGGCAGCAGGGCGGACGTGTTCCAAAGCGAATCGACGGCACTGCCCAACTGAAAACGGGCCTGGGCACCCCCGCCCACAATGGAACCAGCATCACCGGCTCCAAGAGAGCAATTGACAATGCGTGCGTCGACGGCCTCTACCCGCGTGTCTTGAATTGTCAGGATAGCGGGTGCGTAAATACGCACCTCCAGTTCCGCCCGACCACGGGGTAGGCTGACTGTGTACCACCAAACAAATGTGGCATCCGGGATAGCAGTACTGCTCTCCTCTGAAAATGGCGCTGCCAAAGTAGTACTTACAAATTCAGCCGCAAGAGTGACGGGTTGGATAGCAATGCTTCGCTCACTTTCCAATTCATTGAAAGAGAGGCCTTGGTAGGGCGTGGAGGTGCGGTAATGCGAGTCATAATTGACAGTGTATTTGGCCTTCAGCGTCAAGCCCAAGGGCGTGCTTTGTAGCAAGGTCACATTGAACGACTGGTAGAAGACGTCGTCCACTTCCAGCACGGGGATGGTGTATCGTTGCTCAAAGAAGGTGCCGTTTGCCCCCTCTCGAGAAGCAGTGGGGCCACACCATGGAGAGCAGCTAAGCGTGTCCTCTTGCACAACCCAATGCTCGCTGCCGAGATCCAGCACGACCACGTCGAAGGCAGGGGCATTTGAGTCTGCTTCGTGGCTCACCATAAACTCAAGCAGCACGGTGTCTCCAGCCTCAAACTGATCAGCATATGGAGTGACCCAAGTGCGAAGCTCGAGCATGGGTGTTACTACGTGCAGCATTTTCCAATCCTCTGCGGTCATCATACGCGCTTCAGACGGGTCTCCGGTGGCAAAAGTAGTGCTGACACTGAGACCAATCTGGTCCCCGCGATCAGCTGGAGCAACGACCACGGCCTGAAAGGTGAACTCAAGGTTGACACGCTTTCGTTCTCCCGGTGTGGCTGGCGTGGCATGGAAGGTTGGCAGGGTGACGGTGATGGTGTCCAGGCGATTGTAGCTGTTGGCAGTGGTGCTGTAGGTGGGTGTGAGTGCTACAGCTGTCCAGTTGAGGTCAATGCCGTCCGGGGGCGTTAAAGCCACGAGTGCTGGCGACTCGGTCCATCGGCATTGCGAGGAATAAGGGTCCAGCACCACGCTGGCATTGGCGGCCACGGTTCCGTAGGGCACGGCGATGCGCACCTAAAGCAAGGCAGAGTCAAATAAGCATGGGTAATAGGGCATTTTAGAAGTCTGGGTCAATATTCAGTTCAGAATGCTGCACAGCCGAGAAACAAAGGCCAAAAAAGCTTCGCAAGGCAGAGTCAAGTAAAGCGAGAGCAGTGGTTCTGACCTTGAATGTCACTTCTTCGTGGAGTGCCACGTCAAAAGCTCCCGCTGTGTCAGTTTGGGTGACGTCGCCGCTGACAACATAGACATAGTTGAGAGGTCCAGCGCTCGAGCCATATGTTACGCCCGTCGCGGATAGGTCGGGGCTGTACGTAGCGAAGGCGGATGGCAGACGGGAGTGGACGGCCAGATTGAATTGCGAGATCTCAAAAAGCAACGCAGTATCTGCGCACAGGCTCACTGCTTCAGTGTAAACTTGCAGACCATTCAATCCCGTTGCTCCACCGGAAAAAAAGCTGCCTGTCATGCTCAGGGTCTGCGTGGTGTAGGCATAGGCGGCAACCTGAAAAGTCTCTTGCAGCGTTGTACTCTGCCCGGAGGCGGGATCAGTGAAAATCACGCGAATGACAAGGCTGACATCCTCGGCCCCACTTTCCTCGCACTCAGCGCGGAAGCGAATATTGGCGCTCAGAGTGCTCACAACTTCACCGGGATATAGTCGAGCCGGAATCAAGGCAACGTCACCTGGTTCTAGCAGCGCCGGGAACTCAAAGTGAAAATATGTGGAAATTTCCTCGTAATCCGTCGGCACAAGAACTGGAAAGATTCCCGGAGTGAGCGATCCAGGCCCAGCCAACCAGGCCTCCGGTGCGTAGAACATTGGTGTCTCTGGGGCCAGGGAACCGGCCACAGAGCCAGAAACCTCGAGTGTCAGTTGCTCACCCAACGCCAATCCTTCAAGTGCAAAGGTGACGTTGGCCGTCCCATCGGGCAGAGTGATGTAGGAAAAGAAAAGAGAATTGCAGACGGATGCACTGGCGCTGCAAAAGCGTGAGTCCCAGTCGATACCCGTCGCCACAGCCATTGGAAGGTGCAAATAAACGCCCACGGGCCCTGTGCCACTCGTTGAGTTGGGCAAGTGCGCAAGGCCCACAAAGAGGTTGAAATCATCATACGCCATGATGGGTTCGTCATCACTAAAGCTCAACCGGAAGGCAGCCTCCACGACCGGGCGCGTCAGCGTGATGGTGTGCTCGGGAAGAACCTGAATTTGTGCAAAATTTTCATCTGGCTGCTGCTGCAGTAGGTCAGTAGCGAGCGAGAACGAGGTGCCCAGCTGAGCCACAGCGGTCACGGCAACAAACGCAGAGAAAGACCCCGTCAAGAGGGCTCCACGCGCACGAGTACCCGAGACAGTGAGGTCAAGGTCAAAGACGTAGTATGTCGCGCTGCTGAGCTGACGAAGTTCTGAGCCAATGGTGTGCGTGCCATCCCCCACCAAAGACCAAGTGATATTCTCAAAAGCCACCCCACTGGCGTCGGTGTCGGGCTTTTGCAGGTAAAGTCGTAGACGCACTGCCCCCTCGCTCATGTTGAGCACAAACGGCAAAATGATAGGGCTTCTCTCGACCACCGGTGTGTTCGTGGACGACCAAGTAATGTGGGGCACGGGAAGCACAACAAGAGAGGGCGCTGGGGCAGCTGTATAGCTGCGCGGTGCTGACCCGTTGCTCATCAGGGCACATGACATGGAAGGCAGGGCGATGGTGCTACCAAGCGTGATGTTTTCGGCAACCAAGAAAGTAACAGTGAGCGTCAGGCTTTGCGAGGGAGTCAATGAAGAGCGCCAAGCTTCGAATGCTGCTTCAGAAGTGAGATTGGCTAGCAAGGTGCCCTCGTTGTGCACAGTGACGTGAAGGATTGAACCGGACGCCATGTCGACGGCGCAGTTGAAATCGTGTCCCGTGGCATATGCGTCAGTGTTGGTAGCAACGAAGACGATGTCCAGCACGTCACCAGCGTCGAGCGCTGCGGGCGCGCTTTGCTCATCGAGCGTGAGGGCCGGTTCAGCCACCGTGAAGGTGATAGTGGATGAGGTGGTAGCCTCAAACGTGAGACGGTGAACGGATGTGATGGTCCATGAAATGACATCGCCGCTGATTAGCGTGGAGGTCGGTAGCACCACAAACTCGAGGCGAAGCAAGAGATTTTCATTGGCGCATGATGTCGTCCAATTTGCCAACGGAGCAAGTGTCATGGATGTGCTTGTCACATCCACCATACTGTAGCAGGCACCGAGGCCAGTAGAGACAAGATGCAGGCTGGCTTCTGTACCAGCAGGCGCTGGGGTCCAAGCAATGGAGGTGTTGGTTGCCACGTCGAGAAGATCGACGACGATTTCAACGGTTTGTGTTTCACCGATTGCCACGATGCGGGATGCCTCCAGCGTCGGCGGATCTGCTCAAAGTGACACGCAATAATAAGAGGGCGAACGAAAACAAACATGCTGCGCTGAGGAAAAAAAAAAAAAAAAGAGAGAAAACCAGGGTTGGTCCAAACTTCTAGTCATGTTAAACGTACCAACACAGCGGCGTCCCTCAGCTTCATTGGAGGCGGGCGGTGGAAGGTTAAGACAGCCTTGCCCGTCGGCACATGGATGTGGCACACATGCATTTAGCTCCAAGCAATCACTGGCGGTGTTGTCAAATCCGTAGCCGGCTTGGCAAACACAGGTGCGACCGCCGGATCCCTCAGAGGGGGGCGCCAAGTCGGTACATATCACGTTGTTTTGAGGGCAAGGGTGGGCAGCACATGCATCAAAGTCCACGCAGACTCCTTCGTCCAGGATGTACCCCGGGTTACAAGGGCAAGTTCGACCCGCGGTAGTGTTTGGAGCAGGTGCCGCCAAGTCATGGCAGGTAGCAAAGGGGTCACTGCACGGCCAAGCAGCACACGCATTGATGTCCGTGCATGTCTCGCCATCTCCCTCGTAGCCTGCCGTGCACGTACAAGTACGTCCACTCGCGTTGTTGGGCGCCGGTGCGGCGAGATCAACACAATCAGCATTTGTGTCACAGGGCGCAGTGGCACAGGCATCGGCATCGGTACACGATTCGCCATCACCGGTGTAGCCCACGCGGCAGGTGCAGGTGCGCCCTTCCGCCCCGTAAACGGCTGGGGCGGGCAGATCGCTGCAGTCAGCGTTGGCATCACAAGGAAACCCGGCACAACTATCAGCCTCGACGCAAGATGACTCGCCATCGCCAAGATAACCGGTGTTGCATTCGCAAGTACGACCACTTGTGTTGTAAGGTGCCGGGGCTGCAAGATCAGTGCACGTGGCGTGGGCAGCACAAGCAAAATCACAAGCATTGCTATCCGTACATGTCTCGCCATCTCCCTCGTAGCCTGCCGTGCACGTACAAGTACGTCCACTCGCGTTGTTGGGCGCCGGTGCGGCGAGATCAACACAATCAGCATTTGTGTCACAGGGCATAGCGGCACAGGCATCGGCATCGGTGCACGTTTCGCCATCACCGGTGTAGCCCACGCGGCAGGTGCAGGTGCGCCCTTCCGCCCCGTAAACGGCTGGGGCGGGCAGATCGCTGCAGTCAGCGTTGGCATCACAAGGAAACCCGGCACAACTATCAGCCTCGACGCAAGATGACTCGCCATCGCCAAGATAACCAGTGTTGCATTCACATTGGTCAACGACACAGGTTGCATGGGTAGCACAGGGTGGGCAGGGGGTCGTCGTCGTAGTCGTCGTGGTCGTGGTCGTTGTCGTTGTCGTGGTCGTTGTCGTTGTAGTGGTGGTGGCGGCGGTGGTGGTGGCGGCGGTGGTGCTGGGAGAGCCCATTGAACTGAATGCGCTAGTAGTAGGACTGGATGAGGTTGTGGTCTGGGCCACTGCAATCCCAGCAAGGATGATAAGCAAGGCACCAACTCGATGAGGCCTGATAACAGGCTGGGCTGAGAAGGTCATGATGATGGTAACGGCGGACGGTGGGAACATGCGACCAGCGCTGGCGCCTCCCTCCGCCGTGGCTTATATCTGAGGCCAAAGAGCTTTGGAGTTGGAAGCCGTAATGATCAGCAGTAAAAGGAGAGCCAGGGACCTCGAGGAATGGAAGCCGAGGTCAGCAATGATTTAGGCGTTTTCAAGCATGTGCTGGCATAGTCCCACTGCGGAATGAGATGGCCTCTACAACAATTATTTCAGCAACCAGAGCATGCCGTTGTGAGCTGTTGCAGAAGGGCAGCGGGCGGCAATAGCCACGAGAAAGCGCCCCAGACCTCCACGCAGCTCCCCACACGATAGAAAGGAAGGGTAAAAAACACACACACACACACACACACAAAAAAGTCCAAAGGCACACAAGATCAAACGCTGTGCGCAAAGGCTTTGACTTTGGTAAGATGGGCGGTCCAGGCACGAAAAGGGAACTCAGGGTGCGCTCTGGTCAGCCCCACCCCACAAGGCGATGCCAGTCATGCATGTGTTACAAAGGCACGAACAAGGGCTCTTGAAAAATTCAATGACCCATTCCCAGACAACTCGCGATGCAGCCCAAACGCTTTCAAGCATCGAGCCCACAAACCAAGCTGGGCAGGCTCCGCGTCCGACCGAGTCCAGACTCACCACAAAAAGGCGCACGCAGTTGAGAAATGAAAAAGTCGAAAACTGACCATCCTCAGCACAGCGCGCGTGCTAAGAGAACCAAGTCGTGGCGGACACGATATTTGCCCACTTGTCCCAAACTCAACGGCTAGCAGGTCTGCAATTCAAGGCGACAGGCGCATCAAATTTCGATTTAAAAGGCGGGCGGGCGGGGAAGTCAAGATGGACGAAGAGATGGCGTCGGTGCGTATGAGTGGCCAAAAGGAGGAGGCAGCAGCAGTTTGAATGGCGCAAAAGAAAAAATTGAACCGTTTGTTTTTTATTCTCAGCGCATGATTGTTGTTACCTCAGTGGAGCTTTTGACAGTGGTAGCTGAAACGGAATCGATTAGCAGAATGCCAGCGAATGGTCCGCCTGCTTCCTCGGAGTATTATGCCTGTCGTGCGACGCCTTGAAACCGGGAAAAACGCCGACACCTCGAAGAGCTCGCAGAGAAAAACAGATTCGAGCAACAAGGGATGCAGATATGAGAGAGAGAGCACAGAGAGAGAGAGAGAGAGGCGAAAGAGCACAAAGAGAGAGAGAAAGAGGCGAAAGACAAACGAGAGAGAGAGAGAGAGATGAAGCACAACGTCGTAATGAAGATCAGGAAGCTCGCGCGTCACGTGTGGAAAAAGAGACAGGATGTTGGAGTCGGACTTTATGTAGCAAAATCATGAGTTAAAGCATAAAATGAATTTATCTCCTTGCTGTTCCCTATGTAATATGGGCAGAATGTGGGACGACTTTAAGAGTTGTTGCGCCGTTGCGCTCGTGCATCATCTGCCGACGTCATCTCTCAGCCTTGACCCCAAAATGACATTTGTAGGCGCGAGCGGGGTACGTGTGTGACCAAATCTTCACTTGTTGGGCGACGGAGCGGCCCGTGCATCAGAGCGTTGCAAACTTTGTTGTTGTTGTTTTCCTTGTGTAGCCTTGCGTATGACTGCTTTTTCCCATGTTGTAGGGGTGCTTCATGCTGCAGGGTGAAAGGTCAAAAGCAAAAAGGGGTGCGTTTCAGTTTTGAGTCATTCAAGCACACGAACAACTGCCAACATCAGCAGGGGTGGACTGGACGTTGGGACAAGGGCAGAAAGCAAGGTTCCCCGCATGGGCAATCTGATCCCTTTATGCCGACGGATCCTGCTCGTCCTGTTCACGTTGCAAAGCATCCGCCAGCTGCGTAGTACCCGATGGTCCATCCGAGCCGATGCCCAAGGCAGCCAGAGATAAATCGCCCGACTGCAGGGCAGCTGAAAAGGAGGCCAGTGCCTGCACATGAAACAAAAAGACCAGGCAAAAAAAGGGGTTGAGCTGGCGTTGGACTCGCAAGGAATTTGCACAGGAAGTTTGGATCGCTTCGAAAGCCAAGAAACACTCGATCAAACCTGGGCGTATTGCGGGGACCGCAAAGTGCTGCGGATGTTTCCGACCGATGCGTTATCGCCGTCAGGCAGATGGGCCAGCAGGCGCTGGACCGTCTCTGGAAGACACAAAACAAGCCCAAGAGCAGAAAATGAGACCCAACCCCAGATGATTCGCCAGTGCGCAAACGTTCATCGCTCTCACCGGGGTTGTCAAGCAATGGCTCGACGTTGCTGGCCGAGAGCACATCTGTCAGCGAGGTGGCCTGCGAGACCATCACTGCAAAGCCCCGACATCGGATGTGAAGAAGCGCAAGAAAAAAAAGAAAAAAAAAACCTGCAAGCAAGTGTGGTTCCAACCAGCCTTCGATATTGAGCAGGGGGTGGACATACTTTCACGCGCAAAGTTTTGCACCAAGCCCTGCATGTTGTCCTGGGACAGCGGCTGGTCCTCTCCACCAGCTTCAGCGTTCCCGCTCCTCTGCTGGGCACGTTGGCGTGTGGGTGCTGCGGGTGGGCGCTGGGCTGCTCCGCTTGCATGCCTAAACCAGGCACGTCAGATCCACATACATGCGCAGAACCCCGACACCACTCCCTCTGCTACCTCCTGTTCAACTTGAGTTCAAACAGCGTGGCGCAGGTCCTTACCCGGGGGTTGAGACATCGTCGCGCAACATCTGATTGGGGCACACAAATGCACGTCATGAGGTCAAAGACCGGCGCGTGATGGTTGTGTGTGCTTATGACGGCGTACCTGCATGATTGCCTGCTGCTCCTCGCTTGCATCAACGCCTAATGACAGCAACAAGCCGTTGATATGACGAATCGAGATGGAACGCACATCCACCCAGAACACTCGCGGTTCGCGACATACCCATGGGGTGGTCATTGACACCTTCCTCATCGATGGAACCACCATCAATGAGGCGGTTGACGCGCTGGCAAATCAGAGCATCCCCGGCCGCATCTGGGCTTTGCATCCAGAAAAAGTCGCGACGACCTCCAGAAAACTAGTCGAAATTACAGCGTGAGCGCCATCGATTTTGAGAACCCAAGCGTCACAACCGTAGTGTACGCATCAAAAGTCCAGACCTTGAGGTAGTAAACACGGGACGAGGCGGGGGCAGACTTGCAAAGCTGAAACGTTTGCTCGCCTGGGAAGAGGACAATGGGCTATTTTATCAACGATGATGGGACAAGGTGGTCGTCAGCAAGGTGAGATGAGGTCGGGCTAACGCCAACACATGAGGGCCGACTACTCCAGACACGGCATCTAATTCTCAAAGACTCAACGGTGTGACGGGCCAGGGGCAACACTGCAATTGCAACCAACCTCTTCTTCTTCCCGGCCCGAATCACGCGACTTGTAGTGCCACATGAGCAGGTCGCCGTCGCGCTTCAAGAAGACCAGTCCCTTTCCGGGGACCGCCGTCACCGTGTTGCCTTCCTGGGTCATGCGACCGGCCTTGAACTCAAACAAGTTGGCGTTGGCAGGACGAGCCATGCCCCGGCCACCGGGCGTGCTGTTGGCAAAGAGCGACATGGTTGAAGTGTCCTCAAAGGTGCGTAAATCAAAGCTCTCCGCTGCGGTCTGCGCCAAGCAGCATGGCCGAATGTTAGTGACGTGCCAACTTTGCCACTGAAACCCTTGTTGTTCATGGGGGGCCAGCTTGAGCATTTGAAGCATCCGACTCCCACACAGCTGCCACCCCAAACAGGTTTCTTTATGACCCCCCCCACACACACACACACACTCCTGGCCACCTCATCAGCATGCCCTGAGTATGATTCGTTCACCGACTGCCATATCCTACCGTTCAGGCGTTGACAAGCAGCAAAAAAAATAAAATAAAAAAACACGACACGACTCCTAAAAATCTTTTGCTTTTGAGCCCTTTGACGAAAGGAGTTGAAAAAGCAGAGCCAAGTTTTATTTTATATTCAAAAGTTGGAAACTCACTGTGTTCGCCTGCTGCCAGAACTGCCCACGGGCGCCTGGACGTGAGACGAGCACATCCAAGGCCGACGCACGAGGCACACCAATAGCATGGCGGCTGCAGCTGGCAATGATCAGCTGAATCGTAGCCTTCCCAAGATTATTGAAGTTCAAGCCGGGGTACGTCACGCTGTCGCTCGCCTGCGTTGGTGGACTGGTGCGATGTGCCAGGTGCTCCTTTTTTGCACATCGGATGGCATTGGCTCTTGTTTGCCCATGGGGGTTGTTCCATGTGGCTGTTATACCAAGTGCAGTTGGGTCAGCGCAGCCAACCATCTCTGATGCCCGCTGTTTGTGAATGTCTTGGCAGTTGCCCGCATTGACGCAGGACCATGCGAGCGCGGCGCAGGAGATCGTCCAGCAACACGTGGCCCTCGGTTTTCCAGACTCGGCAGCACAGCTTGTCGAGAGCAAAGTCCACAAACAAGTCTTAATGCTGGATAACCCACCAAAGAAGCGCAGTAAGCCCTCGACTGAGGCTGGACCACCCGTCAAAACGAAGGCCAATAGCAATCGTCGCAAGGAAGTGGGTGCCATCACCATTCCAGCAACAAGCAACCAAAGGTAGTCATGCCCCGTAAACGTCAAGTCGATCGGCAGCGGCAGACACGAGTTTTGGCGTGCTTTGGTGGCTACAAGTTCATTGTTCCTTCGCACATTGTTGGCCATGTTTAGCTATCGTCACTATGAACCGCTACACCAATTGTGGCAGACTTATATCCAAGACCTTCTTCAGGTCGACGCGTTGCCCAAGATTGTTCCGTATGTTGTTTTCGCCCCAAGCCGATTGACATCGTTTGCCCCGGTTCTCAAAGCCATCATCTCTTCCGCCAAGCATCTCATCATCTGCGGGCGGGTCCTGGCTGCCGTGGAGCTAGGAAGCACTTGCGCACTATGGAATCGCGACTCGCACGCGCCGATTTCCACGGGGCACGGATTACGGTGGTGCGACACAAGTCGCCCGGTCTCGTTGGAGTCACGGGAATCGTGTTGCAAGAAACAGAAAATACATTGCGTATCATCACCCCACAGGACGAGCTGCAAAGTATGTGTTATGGTCACCATGCCCAACCCATTCACGCAGTACCGCTTCTGACTCGGCACCTGGTCTCTTTGAATGCTCACCAACTGTACTTTGCTTGCGCGTCGGCGGACGGGTGTTGGATTGGCATGCATGCGTCATCGCGCTGTTGAACAATGACATGTAGCACTCCCAAAATCGGCAGCAATTTTCGGATTTGAGCTCGGCCCCCTCACGGTCAATGTTTATGGCAACAACCTGAGGTCCGTCAGGGGCGCGCGCAAGCAACACGTCCACCTTTGATCGGAGTGCTGGCGTTTGGCAAACCTTTCACGCTTGATTTTCCACTTGAATGCTTGTGTTCAGGTTCAAGCCAAGTGACCGGGCCGTACGCAAGTTTAAGCTGCGAGATTCATGGGACCTGTGAGAAGGGGGAGGGGTCGTATATGAAGACCATCATGCGGACAAATGCTGCACCGCCTGAGCACCGAGTGCTCGTGTGGATTCCAGAGGCGGATGTAGTGCAGGTCAACTTGGGGAAAGAGAATAGAGAATTGACATCCAGATGTACACATCTGCACCCAACGTGAAAGAACCCCCCCCCCCCCCAAAAAAAAAAAAAAAAAAAAATTAAGAATAAGAAAATACTAGTAATAGCTCCTGTGGGGCTGGCATTTGGCCTAGCCGACTCTCTTGACGCCACCGTGATCAGATCAGAACAGCATGAATACATTTGTTCGATTACAGGTTCAGTGCCATTAGGAACAGTCGAAAGTTCTACATCACAGCCACTCCAAGCATGCAGAGAGTTTTAACGCAGGAAATCAGACTTGAGGCTGAGTGGGTTTACCGCGGGCCAGGGACACGCTTCTGCTGGTTGTCGATCGCAGTTTTCCACTGATTAAGCTCGTGAAGGCTGTCCGACTCGGACCTCAGGGCATACACGCGGGAGTCGCGACTGCAGCGCACTCGCAATTCAGGCCGACCCTTGCAGTCCTCGATATGGCAGACGCAGGGATATGCAATGCCCACGCTTCCTTTTTTCACACCGTCCACGTCCTCGTAATACTCAAGTTCGAGGCCCACGATCCGAAACCACCGTCGCTTAAAAGCCTTGTTCAGCTTGCCCCGCTTTTCGAGGTAACCACACATGATCAGATCGGTGCCTGGTGCACCCAGCGTGGACGATGGGCCAGAGTCAGGGGCAGACAGTCCATATTTGGCTCGAATAGCGTCCTGGCAGTTGAATATTGGATGGAGCACAGAGGCCACATTCCAACGAAGCACAAACCACCCAGGTGATTGCGAGGGCCGTGAGTGTGGTGTAAACGGCTGGCCTCGTGCCAAGTGAGCGACAGCTTGTTCAGCAATAACAACACCTACATGCTTGGCAGCCTGTTGCTGCTTACGAGCAACGGCCTCCATGGCACGCTTCTCACTCATGCGTTGCCGGACATGGTCCTCACGCTTAAGGACCTTGTTGTTCTTCTACGACAATCAAAGCGACAGCCCAGAGACACATCTTGAGCGCCAAGCTTGGAGGCGAGGAGAGGGCACGGTTGGTATTTGGTCACGGGGAAGGGTGCATGCTTACCAATTTCTTTCGGTATTTATCATGGTCGCGCAACTTTTGAGCCTCGACTGTCACGTCAACCGGGGCCGGCGGCTCCATCTCCGCCCCTTCCATACCACCACCACCCGCCGCCTCGGCATCAGATCCAACTCGACTCATTTTTTTAATTTTTTTTGCAACACAAAAAATTACAAACGAAGGGTGAACCTCCTTTTCTGACATCTTAATCTGACATTGTGCTTGCAAGATTTTTTTTTTTTTTTGTTGTTGTTGTTGATGTTTTTTTGGTTCGCGATGTGTCCGCAAAGTGGGAGGAGGCCTTGGGCTGCGCGCAGCACCGCACGCGCCTGCACACGTTCAGGCTCTTCGCGTGCCCCTCTTAGTCTTAGGGATACGCCAGCCCCGGAGGGAGGGAGTGAATGACTAGCTGAGTGATGCACTCGCCTTGGCATGTATTGCTCACGCACATCGTTGGTGGTTGGTCGATCGGATAAGAACGAAAGAGGCAGTGCAACGGTCCGTCACCGAGTTCTGGAGCCGACCGCGCCAGTTTCAGCCATAACACATACTACCAAGATATCAGGTGCACCCCCTTCAGAGGCACTGGCTTGCTCCCACAACACAGCGCAACACACTGCTCAAGATACTACCACCCCCTCGTACCGTGCGCCTGCCGGCAGATGCCGAGATTGCCTCCCCTGCACCCAACCCCACTCGCGGTCTTTGCCCTTTATGTTGACCTGAGACGACCATCCTGGTGCCTTTATTTTCCTTCAATGCATTGAGCCAAACCTCCTCTTGGAGGCCCTGAGACGACCAAGCCTTTCGCTTCCATTTCTCGTAAACGGGATCAAGGTTTCCTTCGGCTCGGGAGCCAACAGACAGTTGTTCAGGCTTTTGTGTGGGCGTTGACGTGCGACCACGTTCTTTCCGCGTGCTCACCGCTGGCCCATAGCCGTCATGATGGAGGGCAATCAACTTCCCATCCGCCCCGAGGCGCACGCCTGGTGGGATTTTCAGGACACCGTCAACCTGCTGGTTCTGCGCACACTCAACGCTTTGCCCGTGGATATGAGCGCCTTCTTCGACTTTCCTGGCGAGGAGCGGGCTTGGACTGAGCTTCGCGGCCTCCCCATGATTCGTGACACCTTCTTCAGCTATGCCCTCTTCTTCCTCACTGCCTGTGTGCTTTTGGCCGGAGCCTGGGTGCTGGCCTTTACCTTTTGCAATCTCGTCTGGCCTCAGTTCCGTGCTGTCCAGCCCGCCCACAAAAAGTGGTACGTTATTGCCAACCTTTCCAAGGCCCTCATCTTGGGTGGTCAAGCCTGCAGCCTGGCCTGGTGGTACTATTCGTACCTGCACTACCGCTGCACGACCCGCTCGCTGAGTGACATCCTGCCCGTCGACGACCTGGGCCCCTGTGACTTTGACGCCTACACCTATCAAGAGACCTGGTCCAAGACCGTCTCAGCCACCTATGTCATCACCGACTTTTTGGCCCTCTTTATTGTGCCCAAGCTGCCAATGTCCACTGTCATCCACCATGTCTTCACAACCATCTTCGTCACGCTTCTCTTTGCCTTACCACTGAGTGACTACCAAGTCGGCCAAAAACTGCTCATGTATGGCTTCTGGAGCACGTTGTCTTTCCCCGTCAACGCCTTCCTTGCGCTCCGCGTCGTCCATCCGGACTCACGCCTACTCAAGTACTTTGCTCGCTTCAGCGCCGCTCTCTACGCCACCTGTTGTCTATTTAACTGGTCCATTCATGCTTTATGGCCCATCGACGGCCTCTACCTCCAGCCGTCTTGGGGGTAAGTCACCCGTCTTGTCAGTGGTCCGCTGACGCCTTCCCTTGGTCTCGAACGTGCCCGCGCACAAGTGTCACACGCCTTGCTCTGACTCACGCGACTGATGGATCTTAGATTGGTGGACGGGATCGTCAATCTGATTTACCTCATTCTCATTGCCGGCCTTGTTCAAGATGACCTCAAGCTCTTGCAATGGCTTGTGGCCTTTGAGCCGTCTGCCTCGACACCCAAACACGACAGCACTTTGATTCGCGACAAAAAGCGCGCGTAAACACTTGACCGGCTGCAGTTTAAGCCAAGCTCAGATTTAGTGCATTGCTTTTTTTTTTTTTTTTTGGCACCATCCTGACTTGACCCTGCTTTCTACAACTTGCTTGATTTGAATCCGAATTTGCAATTGCCTTCAAATCCCTCTCCTTGATACCGAAACAATGACTGATCCACGACGCAACGAAATAAAACACGGGGTTAAATTTGCACACTGTGGAATAGAACGCTGGGAATTCAGCTCAACAGACGGGGTAGGCGGTAAATGTGTAACTGCACCAGCTGCACGCATAAGAGGCACAACCGCCATGACAAAACGCGACAGACAGTCACGCCCACGGTGCTTTCTTCACGATTTGGACAGAGACGATGAACAAAGCGCCAAGAACAGGGAACAAGAGGCAAATGAGTTTACACCTCCTCCTCGTCATCGTTGCCGCCACGGATGGATGCCGCACTCGAGCCGCTGCGGTGGTCGCGCACCGAGTACTCGATGGTCAGCTCCTCGCGTCGCAGGCGAGCATTCTTGGCATGCGTTTGCAGATGACCCATCTTTGATTCCAGGGCCGAAAGTGACTCGCTCAGCTCGTCGCGGTCGCGCTCAGCCCGGCGCATCTTCGACTCGGCACGGAAAGCACGCTCCTCGGCCTCATCGACCATCAGCTTCAGGGACTCAATCTGGCTCTGCATCTTCTTGGCAGCGGCAGTGTCCAGCTCAGCCAAGTGCACGGCTTCGTCGCGCTCTTGCATGAGCATCTGAATGCGCTTCTCGTACTTGCGCACGCTCGAGTTGTCCTTGTCACGGCGCCTATTACAGGGAAAATAAGGTGAGCCGAATGCCGACAATATCCCACAATGAATCAAGCAAGCGAGAGAAACGGGACCAGCAGCGTGTGTGTGTGTGTGGGGGGGGGGGGGGGGGTGGGGGGTAAA